GCGTTATCAGCCTCTTAACAAAAATGGCATTTAGTTCAGGCAAAGAAGTTCTGTTCTCTGATTCTAGACAACTGCTCACCTCTGACACATCACCAGACAAGAAATACTCTTTAATAATTGATTGGGCCTTCATCTTGAAAACTTTGGTAGAACCATCCTCCAAGGATCTCATTCCTGGCTCTGCTGAGAGTGACTGCAAAGATGATGCACACAACCAGCCTTCCGATGCCGCCTTAGAGATCAAAGACTGCAACATCCTCCGCGCATTTGGTATGTCGAGCGATAAATCATCAACAGTGTCAATCATCCTACTAAACCCTTTTGTTATTTGACTGGAGTTGATTAAACCTTCCTCAGCTGCTTCCTTAAGCAAATCAAGTAATCCACCTTCAGCTTGGCGCCTCTCCATTGCCATTACAAGAGCCCGTTTAACTATTTCATGGTGAAAGAAAGGAACTTTCAAATCTTTGATGCACCTAGAAGCCTCTTTCTTATCACCACTTACTACATACTCTATCAGCAAATTGTTTATCCTGGCTTTAACATCCTCCACTGTTTTATTCTTGCTACCTCCCCATCTACGCTCAATAATTTCTGCATGGAGAGGAGCTGCAAGATACCCCTTGTCTGCTCTTTTTAAGACATCCACCCCCTTTGAATCAATGGGTAGGGAAGCCATCTGTTTTTTAAGAAAAGCAGGAGGAAGAATGTCATCAACCACAGCTCGAGCTATGAACAATGCAAGAACGTCGACCGTATCCGGTATATCCACAATCAAGTCGTCAGCAGATTCTACCAACTTACCGAAGCCTCTATAAACTTGTGTAGGATCAATCACATCAGCATAAAGTGCAGATAATAAAACAGCAGTCATTTCCTTCTCTTTGTCATGCTTATCCATTGCCATGGATACAAGCTTTTTAACAAAATAATAGTTATAGCTGGGCATTGCAAGTTCTCTTAATTCCTTGGCGGTTGAGACAACATCATCAGTGAAAAAGTATTCCTCCACTATTACAGTTGCTTTCTTTTTGTACTCCTCAAAATCCTGTTCTGATTTTCTTGCACTTGGATGTCTGTATTCCTGCATCATCTATAGATTTGTCTTCTATAAGTATTAAATAAGGATTAATTATACCTAAGCATCTTTACTCCCTAACTGGTAACTTGAATGAACAAAAACAGAAATAAATACAGAAGGGTTAGGGAGCAAAAGGATGAGCTGTGCACTAAGTACCTCACTGCTATCATAGTTTGGATCATTTGGGTCAGGTGGATAACTGTCATCAGTATCAAGCAACCCTCCCCAGGTACCTTTACCCCCACAACCACCTGCACGATAAAGATTCTTAGTAAAGCCATAATAGTGAACAGAACAAAAAGAACTCATAACTTTAAACCATGTAAATAAATTTTCTATCAACACAAACAAAATATTAATTGACTACAAACTTAGTTGATTGATTGAGAAAACAGCAGGGTAGTAATCATTTTCTCCATCTGGCCATAATGCAGTCGGGTGGATGAGGTTTAGACAGGGGATCAATGCTTTTTGACAACATAAGCACAAGCTTCATACACTCTGCAGTCCACACAGGAATTTCGTGCTGCTTTCTTTAGTTAGTCTTGTCTAATAACAGGAATAGAGGAAAACACTGAAATTACCTTTCTTAGGATGGCCATCTTTTGGAGAATTTGAGTGTCTGTCATGCTTGACTGGTCTTCCTTTGCCCGTGGGGCTCCACTTAGTTGGACTTCCCTTGCTTGTGTTATGTTTTTCATGTAACTTGGATAACCCCAGGGACTCTAGAGATTTTGGTGACCTTGGAGACTTTGGAGTTGGACTTCCCTTGCTTGTGTTATGTTTTTCGTGTACCTTGGGTGACCTCAGGGACTGTGGAGATTTTGGAGACTTTGGAGAAGCAGACATCTGCAATGGAGGAATGGACAACTGGTCTGCACTCTCCACAGCAGAGCAGACAAGCTTCCGATGTTCATTTGATACAAAACCACCGCTAAAGTCCATTTCAATAATCTTCTGCTCACAGTTATCAACTCAATAACTACTCTCTCAAGTGACAGCCTCGATCTCTGTCCACCATCACACATACAGAAATATCTTTTTCTAGTAATACATCCTCGAATGCCTTGATTCGATCTACTTGGTTAATTTCTGCAAGAATCTCAGAAGAGCTCAGTGCAGAAAACGAAGACTGAGGATACACTGACATTCATTAAGGGAACGTATTTTTTATTCCTAGACATATTCATATCCTGTATCCAATACTTACAATTCCAAATATGATACACAACATATTTTTTATTCCTAGACATATCCATATCCTGTATCCAATACTTACAATTCCCAAATATGAAACAAAATGTTAATGACATTTCACAGAATTGAGTAAACATATACCAATATTATTGGAATG